AGATATTCTGAGCAGCCCAATCCAGGCCCCAATTTACCCATTCTTGTCCATATCTTTAGTGACAGAAGATAATGTTTGAAGTTAATTTGCTTTCTGCCTCTGCCTTTTCCATCCAGCAGAAATGTGAATGGTTGTTATCTTGTCCCTTCTTTTTAAAATTTTAATGCTTATTTCTTTATTTAGAGAGAATGAGAGAAAGAGCATGAGTGTGAGAGGAGTAGAAAGAGAGGGAGACACAGAATCCAAAGCAGGCTCTGAGCTGTTAGCATAGAGCTCCATGTGGGACCTGAACCCACAAACTGCAAGATCACAACCTGAGCCGGTCAGACGCTTAATCGACCGAGCCACCCAGGGGCCCCATCTTGTTTGTCTTATATACACTTATCTCTAGGGTTCACTCTGTGGTTGCAAACCTACATTTTTTGTTCCACAGCTACACTCTTCATTTCTATTGATCTGATAGGTCAGTAATTCTCTCATTGTTTTTATTGCTTTACTGGGTCCTTGCTATCTCCTTAAAGTGACAAGTCACCCTAAATCATCTCTTTAGGCAACCTTTGGGCATTCATTGCCTTGGGCATCGTCCCAAGGAAGGCGATATGCAAGTTAATAAGCATAGTTTAGGATTGTGCCAGTTTGACTTTCATTTATTAATCAAATATTTACTGAGCACCTAGTATATGTCAGGTATTGTATTATCTCATATAGCATTAAATCAGATAGATATGGATCTTGTTCCCAAAACTTAAAATCTACTTGGCAAGACAGAAAATGAAACAAGTAATTACAATCAAGATAAGAATGATGAGAGAGCACACAGTGGACCTAATCTAGTCTAGGGAATAGGGTTAGGATCCTTCAATTTTTGGTGACCATGACTTACTTACTTACCTACTTACTTACTTACTTACTTACTTACTTTATGTATGTATGTATGTATGTTTATTTATTTTTGAGAGAGAGAGAGAGAGAGAGGCACAGTGCAAGTGGGGGAGGGGCAGAGAGAGACACACAGAATCCGAAGTGGGCTCCAGGCTCTGAGCTGTCAGCACCGAGCCCTCCACGGAGCTTGAGCCCATGAGCCATGATTTCATGACCTGAGACGATGTTGGACACTTAACCAACTGAGCCCCCCAGGCGCCCCATGACATCATTTTTTAAAAGTTGACTTTTTGAGGTATTTTTACATACAGTGAAACTCACCAATTTTAAGTGTGCGGTTTGACAAATTGTTATGAGTGGACACAGTTGTGTAACCACTTCCACAATCAAGATAATTTCCATCGCCCCTAAAATTTTCCTCATGCCTCTTTATAGGCAGTCTCATCCTTCCCACTCATCCCCAAATCCTGACAATCACTTACGTGTTTTCTATTACAATAGTTTTTCTTTTTCTAGAATTTTACATAAATGGAAACACAGAATAGGTAGTCTTTTGTGTATGAAGGATGAAATTCATCCACATATCAATAGCGTGCCCCTTTTTATTGCCAAGTAGTGTTCCACTATGGAGATATACTCCAATTTGTTTATTCATTCACCAGTTAATAGACATTTTGGCTGTCTACAGTTTGGGACTATTATACTATCAAAGTTTCTACAAGCATTTGTGTACAAGTCTTTGTGAATCTGCTTTTATTTTCTCTTGGGTAAATACCTACGTATGTGATTACTGAATCATATGGTATACAGAATTGCTAAGTTGTTTTCTGATATGGCTGTAGCATTTTGCTAGCAAAGTTTGAGAATTCCAATTATACTGTATCTTCACCAACAGTTGTTATAGACTTTTAAACTTTGCCCATTTTACCTTATTGTGTTTTGATTTGCATTTCCCTAATAACTAATTATGTTGGTCATCCTTTTGTGTGCCTAATTGCCATCCACATATCTTCTTTGGCAAAGTGGCTATTCAAATGTTTTGCCCACCTAAAAAATTTGGGTTGCTTGCCTTCTTATTATTGACTTTAAAGGGCTCTTTATATATTCCAGATAAGAGTCAGTTGTCAGATATTTGTTTTGCAAATATTTTATACACATTTCTGGTGTGACTTTTTATTTTGTTAATCACATCTTTTCAAGACAAAAAGCTTTAATTTTGATGAAGTTCAATTTGTCAATTTTTTAGTGGTTCTTGATTTTGGTGTCTTATCAAAGTTACAAAGATTTTCTTGTATATTTCCTTCTGTAACTATTATAGTTTTAGGTTATATGTGATCATGTATTATATGTAATCATGACTTTTTACATGAATTTTACATCTCTGAAATTAATAAAACTGTTCAAGGGGTGCCTGGGTGGCTCAGTCGGTTAAGTGTCTTAGTCTCAATTTTGGCTCAGGTCATGATCTCCTGGTTTGTGAATTTGAGCCCTGCATTGGGCATCACACTGTCAGTGAGGAGCTGCTTGGGATTCTCTCTCTCCCTCTCTCTCTGCCCCTCCCTCCCTCAAAAATAAATAAATAAACTTAAAAAAAAATAAAAGAATAGGCATGGAAAACCAGAGTGAAATTATTCAGCCTTTTATAAGACACACCATCATTCTCTAGGTCCCAGGTTTGAAATGGCATTTTACGGGATACTGTGTCTCATACACTTGTGATATGATAACTTTCCTGATTTAGACTTCTATTTGTTGTTACCAAGAGAGCAAAACCAGTATGACCTGTCAATGTTAAGTGCTTAGTTTCCTCATTTGGAATGTGTTTTCTTTTTATGAGAAGGTAAAGGAAACATTATATTGAGTTGAGACCACTCCCACCTCTCATCCAAAACATTGTGCATGCCTTTGCCCTTTACCTGGGATTATATTTTCAAAACCCACCAGTCTCCACTAGACTACAAGCTGTTCAAGGTTAAGACCTAGGTCTTATTTTGTATTACTATGTTTGAGATGAAACATTCAGTAAATGTTTCCTGAATGAAAGGAGGAATTCCTGGGTCTCTGCTGCTCTGCTGGTGTGGAAGCTACCAGGCCGCTTGTTTGTAGTTCTAATGTCAGTGCTCATGAACTTGGCTTTAGAGAAAAACTGTCCCGCCTCAGTATTCCCGGAGCTTAGCACAATGCTTGGCATGCAGGAGAGAAGAAGGGCAAAGAGACAAGGGGAAGAAAATTTGTACAAAATCCCACACACCCCTATTTATGACTTAAAGCAGGGAAACTGGGCAACCTTCAGGTGTAACATAAGGTGAAAACTGTTCAGGATAGAGTCCCAGTTCCTCCTGGGCAACAGCGCCAACATCTTTGGGCTAAGTCCCTTACTTCGAATCTTTTGGGCTTGCGTGGACCCACGCTTCCCTAGCAGGAGAACGCTACGAACACTGAAACCGAGTCTGAGGATTTAGGGGACTCAGAACCCGCTCAACACATGCTCTGCAGCGCTGGATGCCTAGCGAATGTGGGTCGATAGCTCGGCGCTCGACGCAATCCAGCCGGCCTGAGACGCGACGCTCCCTCCGGAGCCTCTCCGGGCCCCGCACCCCTCGGGCCTGGGTCCTCTCGGTGCGCACGCGCGGAAGGGGCTCGGCTGGGGGAGGGGCGCCGGAACGCAGTCGCCGCTAGCGGGCCACGGCGGGGAGGGGCGCACGCACGAGGGGCGGAGCGGCAGGCGCCCCGAGTGGCTGAGGAGCCGGAAACGCGCCTCGGAGGGTGCGGCCCTGAGGAGTCGGCGGGCTGGGCCGGGCCGGGCGGGAAACGTTAGGCCAGCGGCCCCCGGGGCGCGGGGGTCGAGCGGGCGGGGAGGGCCCGAGGCAAG